ACATGAATTCAGCTTATCTCGTTAACGTACTCTACCCAGATACAGGTGAGTTGAGAAGTAATAAAAGTAGTGACACTTGTATGATCCGGGATACTCCAGACGGTTTTTAATGAGAATCTGTTACCCCGACAAGTTTTCTCATAATCTTGGAGCTCTTTTTGGATCCTCATTTATTCTTTCAATTTTTTAGTCGAATTGTTTTCATCAAGAAGCATATAAAATTCTCTACACTTATACTTGCCTTTGGAACCCTTCTGCTACAAATTACGGCCTTTTCGTCGGCGCGTTGTTCAACTTTTCGCGAATATGAATTTCAACATAACTTCGAATGAAAAGTTTCAACGATTGGAATTGTTAAACAGAAGCGCTGGTTTAGTTGTCTTTGAATCGTTCATAATGATTGTGATAACTTGTTTTGCGTTTGTTGGTAACGTTTTGTGCTGCATTGTTATCTTCAAGACGCCTTCCCTAATAAGGAACAAGACGAACATTTACATCACAGCTCTGGCGCTATCTGATACCTTGACTGCCATCTTTGTTATGCCCTTGTCAATTGGTGTACTTGTGCAAGGAAAATGGTCTTATGGCAACATTTTATGTCATTTCCAAGGCTTCACTTTTCTCTTTACCGCTTTTATCACACCTCAAACCATGTCGCTCATTGCTTTGAACAGATATTTCTGTGTTGTCAGACCTTCACAGTACAGAAAGTGGTTTCAAAGAAGGTACTGTATAGCAATGCTAGCTTGTGTTTGGCTGAATTCATTCGTGATGGCTTTATTACCACTAGTTGGCCAATTTGGCATCTTCATCTTCAGGGGAGATAGATCTATTTGCTGGATTACTATTCTAGATGTTGTAACAAATATTACATACACCGTCCCAATCTTGTGCCTCATCTTCATATTGCCTTTTGGTATCATGATCGTGTGCTATGCAAAGATCTTTCGTTCAATGCGTTGCCATGTTAGACACCTTTTGACTTTCCATCAGACCAGTGGCCCCAGGAATGTTTCCGTGAGAGAAATCAAAATCACGAAGCAGTTATTTGTACTTGTTGCTGGATTCGGTATTTGCTGGATTCCTGCCATGGTTATTGATACAATTGACCAGTTTTTCGTTCTGTCCCGAAGCGTCTTTATGACTTACATTTATCTTATTTATATTTCCAGTTCCATTAACCCTGTCATTTATGGGGTAATGAATCAATCGTTCAGAATAGCCTTTCTAAATACTTTTTCCTGTACAAATATACGTGTACATCCAACAAGCAAAAATCCCAGGCAACGGGACGGTGATGTCAATTAAAGACATGTAGTAACTATGGTGAAAAGTACATTCTTCAGGTTGGTTTAAGGATTTTCCTCAGGGAAGACATGCGTGGCTCTCAGGTGGCGGTGCACCCCACAAAAAAAAATTACCATAAAGATACAAAATAAGGAAAGAATTGAAGGATATAGATCTCAGGAGGGGGAAGAGCTCCCCTTGCACTCAACAGCTTGATCCGCCCCTGTTATTGGGTCTCGATCAAAACATCAGTTACAGAAATCATAGATCAACCCTGTCGTCTATTTCAAAAGGAAAGCTCAACCAATACAAGCCTACCTTTCTTAGGCAATTATGTACTAGTATACATATATATGTTCAGTAAGTAATGTGCTGGACTGGTCTTATAAATCAAGCATAGATATCGATGTGGTCAAGGGTTTGATAAAGGAAAACATACGTCTATGCCTCATGGGAAACATCTCTTATTGTTACAAATGTGGTATTTTATTTTTTTTAATGACAAAAAAGGCGTTTTCCGACATATTTCTTTCAGGATCCGATCCGGCGCTAATTTAATGTAATAAACAATTGCATGCAGGTGAATGTATAATAATATCGAATACATTATTATAATTTCTTTGATGGAAAAACAGAGTTTAATATTTATATGTTATAGAAATTATTTAGTTAGCTGGTCTAGCCGAATTACTCATTGCCATCATTTCTTACGTTTTAGGGTGAGACGTTGTGCAGTGAGTGAATTCCGGGACAGTATAGATATCATTAGAAAGGGGACGCTTTAATTGCGGGAGTTTTGTTGTGTTTCTCTCGCCTCGTTATTTAGTATTTCATAGCTAATTTGTTTACATGTATATATTTGTTATCCATATACTTTAGGGATTGTTTTTTTTTAAGTCGAGAGTTAATCAATAAAKAAAKAAAGAAAGAAAGAAAGAACACTTATACTTCTCATTATATTTTGCTCCAAAAACTACGTATGTTGAATTTTTCTGACGTATTACACCTATTCTAATTATAAGAAACGTAGTGTTGGCAAGAGCTGAATTCTTCATGGTGCATGATAAGTAAACGGATATATAAAGCTTTTTCAGTGATGAGTCAATTTTTTCTGCTGCAGACGAATGTCAACACTTCTTTTATTGTTGGATCTTAAGGCTGATTTACACGGCACGATTGAATGTCGCGTGCGATTTGTAGTATACGACTTGAATCGCGCAGTGTAAATGCCCCTATGACTTGTCTACAACAGTCGTACGCGACCTACGACTTGTAGTAGGATTTTGAACAACTGCTTAAAATCCTACGATTTGTAGTAGGAAAATCGTATACTACAAGTCGCGCGCGACAAATCGTACCGTGTAAATCAGCCTTTATACATCGATATAATTCTATGCTTAAAATGGCTCCCCGTGCAAAAATATATWTTAAAYAGAACGTTAACTTTCCTTTAATTTCAAGTAAGGGACTTCATAGAGACCCTTTCCACACTCATCCAGTCGTTCATGAACTCTTTTCTGGGATGCAGCACTCGAGCAAGATTAAAAATAACAATCATCGTATATCATCATCATTATCATCATTTTGATAACAATGAATAAAAAATGCAGAAGTTTTTGACGCAATATTTAAATGTTTGCGTAGGGAAATCTCCAAAAGAAAAGTGTTCACAGATTAGACAAGGTCCCCATATTCGGACATTTTGAAAGAGGTTAAAGTGTTACTTGCATGAAAATGCCGTTATTTCAAAACTTCAAGCAATACGAATATATGACTCATTTATATCTATTAAAAACAATTGCGGGAAAATATTTGTTTTGGAATTATCCCATATCAGAGAAATTTTGGTTCAAAAGATGGAAGAACAAAAGGATGGAATAAATGACATCRTCTACTCCAACAATTTTTGACCTAATTATTAAGGATTTGTATGAATATCTTCTTGAAATCTGTTGCTTCATGATTATTAGACCCATATGGATAGGTCTATTTGATTTGGACAAGTATTTTCTAATATTTCGAAATTTTCGTCCAAGTAGCCCTTTAAGTAAAGACCATATTAGTCGCCTTAAAAAGGAGTAAAGGTTAACAATTCTCCCAGGAAAAACTAAACATGACAGGTATCTGAATATAAACAGAAAGACGGACATATATGGTTCGTGTTGGGGCCACGACCATCCAAAAGGCTGAGGACTATAGCGCGATCTTACCTTGTTGTTATGGTGTAGTTTTGAAGCGGAATTTTGGTGTATTTCAAACCATAAAACTACATTTTGGTGACATAAAAAATCATTTTTGTCGACGTATACATTTCAAACGGTGTCAAAGAATGACAGGTTCAAATGCAATGGCACTAAGTGGCGCTGTGAAGAAACAGGTGAAGACAATATGTTGTTTTTCTTCCTTAATCAACACCGTCAAAGGAAAACCGTTCTTGAATGTTTCACACGTCGTGTGAATCAATTATCTGTCTATATGCAGGTTAATATCACTATTTTGGCGTCCTTGGGGTAAGCAAGGCCTGGAGAAATTCTTATAAAGGCAATTCATACCACGAGCTGTCAATATGTTGTCGAGAAGACAAATTAATTACAACTTGTATTATTATATATTGTGTTGATTGGCTGGTTCAAAGCCAACTTGAGGGCAATGCGTACCACACGTAGTATGTCCTCAATATATATTCTTATGAAACAAGAAACTAATGAATTAAATATTAAATGAAGAACAATTTGGAGAGTTTTCACAATTAAGGAAGGAGACTGAGCAAAAGAAGAAGAAATTACGTACGTTGTAGAATAGGAAAAATGCCTAAGTGGCCGGCCGGAAGAAGAAGATGACAAGAATCAAGAAGTGGACGAAAAAAATAAAAAGCAAAGAGTGAGCGAAAAAAAAGGGAAAAAA